GAATAAAAAACGTTTCCAAGAGAACATTAATCTTTTTTTCCAAAATACGAAAGAGTTTTCTATCGCTAAGTTTGTGGTGAACTATTACATGGTTTTCACCTCTTCTTGGCATTCCGAGAAGCACTGCGACTGCCGAAAGTAAGGTGTCCAACATTTGTGGTCCCCGCATAGATCTCTACACTCTTGTTCGCTGCGGACAGTTGGGCGTGTCAGGCAGTATGAGTGCGCCACCCCGTCAAGCCGTTCTCTGCCTTCTTGTTGAAGCGCGCATGCGACAAAAAGTGGTAGAAAACGAGTAATACGAACGATATGATACAGTCATATCATTTGCTCGCTTCAACAACTGGTGGAGAACGGGTTTGGCACCGCGCCAAACTCATCCCGCCTGACACGCCCAACCGTCCGCAGCGAACTACACTATACAAACAAACCGTTTCGGAAATGTGCTCCATGATCTGAAAGACCTCCCTTTCAAGCATCTTCATCAAACTTGAAAGTGTCTTAGGCCGCTCATGGCTTGCGGTAGTGCAGGAAAACAGGACGAAAAAGATTAGATACGTTTCGATTTTCGGCGTTTCGCCATCTCTACATTTCGTGAGTTCAGCATTTCTGTATTTCTTTAGTTCTGCATTTCTTCACTATAGCATGGACGCGGCCTCAGATCACGTTTACACTTTGCACTCATAGTTAGAGATTAGATACGTATCGGCAAGACGTCTCCAACCCTGACGAGAATGTCGGATCGACACGCATCTAAATAACCTCCTAAGCGTTGGTGCCGAAGAAAACGATCGCGCCGGATCGATATGTACACTTTTCTTTCGGTTTAATCTCAGAAATCGCCTGTGCTAAGGTGTACTCTAGTTCGCTGCGGATGAAGGGGCGTGTCAGGCAGTATGAGTGTGCCACTGGCGCCAAACTCGTTCTCTTGTCAGTTGCTGAAGTGAGTATGCTACAACAGTGTAGAATACGAGTGATACGAACGACATGATACAGTCTTGTCACTTGCTCGCTTCAACAACTGGTAGAGAACGGGTTTGGCACCGCGCCAAACTCATCCCGCCTGACACGCCCCTTCGTACGCAGCGAACTAGACTTACGAACGCAGCCTTATTATGGTGGATTCTAGTGTTCTAAACACGTTAAAGTAGCTGAAGTAGTGTTGCTTCAACAATTCAAACATCCGTTCAGTGGGAAATTGTCATTGTTTCGGCTTGTCTACACTTTGCAGTGCAAAGAGCCGAACACTTCAGAAATCTAAAATTTTCTGGACTTTTACGCTGGAATGCCATCAGTTTCCTTTTCTAGGGGCTGCGGCTGTTAGAACTAAGCCCCTCCATTCGCCCATTCTTCTGTTTTTCTCTGCACTCTCGTCTGAATGACGTTCCATGACCACTACGACCTCACATATTCACGTTTTTCAGGCATAGTAACTATTTCACCCACTCCGGCGTCCTCCCCTTCCCCCCCCACCCCTTGACACCGCTCCTGGCTCACCATACATTTTTTTAAAATTTTTTCATGCTTTAGCAAGTGGTATCTCTAGCTGTACGCACGTCAGTGTTCCGCAGCTGGACCCTGCAGTGAAGAGGCGATAAGGAATTCAAATGGGGAGGGAGAGGGAAGAGCAGCGTCCCTTCCACCAACCAAGGCCTAGGCTCACTCAGAGTGCAGATCGCCAGAAGTGTACAGCATCGCTGTGTGAAACACATGGAGGGGGGGGGGGTTCGTACTTGGGCGCTGGGAAGTGGGGTCCGTATTTGCTCGTTTGGTAGAGGGAGGGAGGGAGGGGGTCATATATGTCTTCCGCTGATGGTGCTGTCTCCATTCTCTGGCATTGACTGAACTTGACAATTCTAACTTTGTTCCACCTCGACCCCCTTTGAGGAGGGCGAAGCAGACATAAAATCATGCAGATTGATGAGCTCGAACCAGTAATTCAATCAAATCGAGAAGGGTGTTTCGCACCAGAGAAGGCCTCGGACCTTGGCTGATTCACCTCCATTTTGTCAACAAAACAGGTATATACGCATTAATTCTCCACGGCGTATGGCTTTTAGAAATGGATTTTCTACGCTTCATATATCCACAAACATTTCTCGATCTGTCAACAACTCTTCATGCTACTAGCCGTAATCTTGCTGAAACCTGTTAAAGGATGGTCATCGAAATGGAATGGCGTTTTGCGGCCTTGAATACGTGGACTTATCAATGGGATGTTTACCGAGCGGCATTTAATCATATTGTCAATGTGGTGTCACGGCACATCTCACGACGCGTCAAACAACTCGTCCGAAACACTAAACTACTGGATCACCCTACTCCATTGTAGGGAGACATCTGAGAAGCTGGGCACCGAAACAAACGCCAGCGTTTGCCTGGGCCCTCACGGGATATACACCATTTTCACTTTAAATCGGACACTTTTCAAATCAAATCGGACACACCCCTTACAATAGGCAGTTGATAACTGTACCACACTAGGTACTGCTGCAAGCCCCGCCCACATTTTAACGCGGTCACGGTTTTCCAGAACGTTTTATGAAATCTGCTTCTTCGACTTTTTTCACTTTTGCTAGTTGCACACACACACACACTCTTGCAACTGAAAGGATTGGGTGCCGACACCAGATCTGACTCGACCACTTTATAGAAGCTCCACCCACTTTTGGAAAATCATGCTAACAGGCTAGAGTCCGTCCTGGCACGTTGCGGCCTCTTCCGTCATTCTAGATGGTTCCGCTTCTTTTTTTTCTCTTTCAGTTGTTGACGGGAGAGGCCATAACGCACCGATACGCGAATCCAGCTGTAGTCTTTTTGCAACTTTGTCTAGACGATGGGCGGAGTTTCTACAAAGTGGGCCGAAGCTTCTGCTAGTGGGCGAGCTACTTGTTACAGCCTAAAAAAAGCGAAAATTGGGAAGAAAAATTTAAATTCCACGAAAAACACGGGTAGGCGATGCACTATGGCTATTACTATATTCGTTTTGTGAAGATTGAATGTGAAAAGAACGACGTCGAAAACAGAAAACTCAAATTTGCGGTACTTCATTGAGAACTGAGCGGAGTCAGATCTGTATCGGTACCAATCCTTTACAGTTGAAATGTGTGTGCAATCAGCAAACGTGAAAAAAGTCGAAGAAGCAGATTTCATAAATATTTTGGAAAACCGGAAAACCGTGACTGCGCAGAAAAGTGGGCGGGATGTTGGGGCGGGGCTTGCAGCAGTACCTAGTGTGGTGTAGTTATCAACTGCCTATTGTAAGAGGTGTGTCCGATTTGGTTTGAAAACTGTCCGACTTGGTTTGAAATGTGTCCGATTTTAAGTGGAAATGGTATATCAGTTGAGTTCTCAATACTTGGACCGCATGTATCATGCTTAAACACTTATTGGAGCGTCGGTTGTAGGCGACCCGGGAGACGGACAAGACAATCAGACCTGCCGCGATGTCGCACGCGGACGCTCCTGACCTACAGTCCTTCATCATCGCGCGCATCGGTGGGGACCCTGTCAGCCATTGTGTGTTTATGCACACTGTTTTTTTTGAAAAAAGGGCCCCGTTCTCAGCCTTTTTTTGAAACGCGTATGCGACAAAAAGTGGTAGAAAACGAGTAATACGAAGGATATAATACAGTAATGTCACTTGCCCGCTTCAACAACTGGTGCAGAACGACTTTGGCACCGCGCCAAACGCAGCCGCACTGACACGCCCCACCGGTCCGCAATGATTGACGGACCGTAATTACACTTTCTTTCTGTCGTGATTTTCCCCCAGTTCCCAGTTTCCTCATTTTCTTCACCACGGTCGGTAGTCGCCGTGCCACCCCCGCCCTACGCCCTTTCCCCCATGCCTTCAAACCGCTATTTAAACCATCGCTGAACTGGAGAATCGGCGAATGTGGTTACAAACTCACACCATAAAAAAGGAGAATCGAAGATTCCATGGAAAAAAGAGAGATGTTCAGATTAGACTACCCGATAAGTAACATTTTTTGCACCGACACTTTGTGATGTTTGATTCCAACGGAATGATGGCATTGAAAAACTGGAGAAGACAGAAAAAAAGCGACGAACAATCGGAGAAAAAGGATGATGAGAGGGTTACAAACTGACTGTCCCAAAACAGAAAAATCTAATACTAAGCAACACTGATGCAATATGTTCCGCTGATAAGAGTCACTCTCCAGCGAGGGCTAAGCCACGTCATGCTTGTTCGTCTGCACTTTCTCACCGGAACAACACGACACGTTGTGACATGGATTAGTCATCGTCAGAACGTGACGTTTCACAACCTCGCCGCTGTTACATTTCATTATAGTAGTTCATTTCCTTGCACCCACACAGCGTGACGCGATTTTATCGAGTCAGAAAATGACGTGGCTAAGCCTCTCTGAAGAGTGGCCCTTGTCAAAGCACATAGCGCCCAAGATTGACATCTAAAACAGGGCACAGCGTTCGATGGGGATTCCCTATGGGGGGTCGTATGAGGCCGCCAAAAGGGGGGGTCGTATTTGGGCTGGGAAAAATTTATTTTTATAGTTGATTTTTCTCGCTTTGCGGACGTTTTGGAGGGGGTCGTATTTGCTCATTGTTGGCAGGGGGACGCCGTCGGTGCGTCGTCGAGAGACGCGGGGGGTTATTGTAGTAAGCATGCGACGTACATCGTACGAGCATGGACGGGTCCGCTTACCTAGCCCAGAAAAAAAGCGGGGGGGTCGCTAAAAGCTCAACCAAAATCCCCATCGAATGCTGTGCCCTGATCTAAAAGAGCAGTACTAAGAAGTTATCCAATCCTCCAAATCGCTGAAGTGCAAAAAAAAGGGTAAACAACCCTACATAATCAAAATGAACATGCCCTATAAACCATAACCCATTCGGAAACTCTTATTAGTGAATTATAGAAGAGCAACATAAACCTTTGTATGCATAAATTACAACTGAACCAACATCACTGCAATATAAACATATTTACAAATAACTCAATAACTAACAAATTTTTGCTACTCCAATCGACGCTTGCGATTTCTGCTTGTTTGTTGTGCGCGAATGTATTCGTGTAAATTATTACGACACTTCACACTTTCCTCATATAACTTCTTCTCAAGATTATCGATTTTCTTGGGAGTTTCGTTGTCACGATACATTCTGAGCACAATTCCTATAATAAAAACATGAACTAAGGAGAACTTTCTCAAATACAGAGAAAGTCAATGCGAGGTCATTGCGTAAGATACGACAGCCACATATCTTCAATGAGCGCGAATGAAGGGAGGAATCGGTGCGTTCATACTTCGCGCAGCGCTATGGACATTCTGGATGCGAATAACAAAGCATTAGGTATCAGTTTAAAGTTATATAAGCATCCAACCAGCGCTTAGAAACGTCGACCAACTTTATCCAGCTGTGTTCGATATTTATTACTTTCCTAGCCGTCAAGGCATTGGCGGATACTCAAAACGTTATTTGATACCTATACAACCCTAGTCGCTCAAAACGCACGACGCAAAGTATGAATGCACTTTACTTTTATATACTGCACTAACTTTTTTATTTACTTTTATTTTTTTCGAAGGCAGTCACAAATTAAAAAAAGAATGTTTTGGGTGCATCTAAGGTAGCTATCGTAGACATTTCGGGCTTGATGTGAAATATACTCGAGATCCCTGAGATCGGGTAGGCGGGGCTGCATTCTTCAACTTAACCTGAAGGTGTCTATGCTTCTGGTGGAATATTTCCATCTTGACACAACTGTTGTCGTGTCTCTGTCCAACACAGAACAAGATGACAGTTGTCCCAGATTGGAATATTCCACGAGTAACCAGTTCCGTGCCATGTTCAAATGCCACGCCTACTCTGGCTCAGGGATAAGGAGTGTATATATGGGTATTGAGAAAAAAGAAAAAGGGTTCCGTTCAGGAAAGGTCAGCAGTCCAATACCTTAGCTGTCAAGAAACGCTGCATCTTATGAGAAGCCACTGAGACCGCGTTCAAACTTTGCTACTCGAGAAAATAGGAGAGTAGGAGAACGAACGCGAAGAAGAGGTTTAGGTAACGATTTCGCGACTTGTTAGTACAGGTGCATAGGAAAATGGGCACCTCGGGAAGAGATGGGAACCGATCAAATTACTTTTTTCTCCCAATTCGTCATCGGTAGTTATGCTCTCATTTGGCATGCACTTTTCTATTCTTCTGAGGCGCAAGGTATGAACATGGCCTCACATAGCATAGGACGCGGAGCTTCGGGATAGGTTAACTTCTTTCTATGGGATGCGACAACGCCTTCGGCTACAGTGATCTTGGGGAAGTGAGAGTGGGGGGAGGGGGGGGGGCACTTGTGAGCTTCTTCAGGGCGTGTCCTTTGTGTTGTTTTTATTCTTTTGTCTATCCACAGCGTGTCTAACGCTGCAAACCACGCTGTAAATTCTTAGCGAGAAGCCTGTAAACACCTGTCAAGCTTGGCGAAATGGTATCAGGAACACCATTTCTCCATTTTTTTTCGAATTTCTCCATTTTTGTTTCGGCCAATGTTTTGAACAGTTTGACGGAACTTACAGGGTGCTCAACAGGTGATGACAAGGCTCACAGGAAAGTTGTCCAGAATTTACACGTATACAGTTTATCGGACTTGGTAGGCTGACACCGCTTAGCGGTTTGCCCCCAAGATTGTTAGTGCCACACCTCCTTGATTGCTCCCACAGCAGGGTTTCCCTTCCCCACGCATAAACAAAAATGGTCATCAACACTGCAACACATGCCCCCATTGCAGTACATTTAAAAAACGGAATTGGAGGGGAGTGAGTGTTTTAGTGTGAGAATGTGACTTTGTGACATGCCCAAACCCGTACATTCAGTGATAATGTACTGGACCGGGGACCTTGCCGAGCTAATGCCTGCACGGTGACTACATTGAAGCGCGTTGTACGAGTAGAGTATGTGGAAGGAGAGATAAGAGTTTTCCCCAGAGACCAAGTCATAATAGAAACCGAGTACGTGAACTTTAACGATGAGTGAGCTCATCACTAAAAACGTGACTTACCTCCAATACGCTGGACAAAAGCCTTTAGCAAACACTCCGCCAAGGCAAGACTAACACTTTCGCCAATTGACACTGAATGACAAAAATGCATTCCCATTTCATAGTAGTATGGCTGAAGGGCTTCTAGATCAGCGTGAGCTGCATTAGCCAATAGTACGCTCCGAACATTTGGATTGTAGGCAATACACAATAACTGTTCGTATATGATTGTAAAGAATCTGCCTGAAGTATATAACCAAATCTTCTACTAGTACGCAAAGCCCAAAATTTAAACTGCATTCGTATAACTGAAAATTAGACCTCCACGACAATCAAAGGGTTTCCGAAAGCAAAAAAAGCAATTTCAGGAAGAAATGTACTAGAAGCAAGAATTCGAGAAGAGGTAAATGAGTGAAGAAATGTATCCCGCTAGAAGTCATGGGTAGTTATGATCAGTCATGGTTCTAGAGCATTTACCTCCCGCGTTCAATACAGTACCAGATACGGGCCTTACGAAGGGATCGCTTACTATGGACCTCTCATAGGCTTTCCTAGCGATAGATGATGCAACCGTAAGGTGCATCTTCAACGACAAAAAAAGTCAAAACTAAGCCTTCACTCACCGAAGAAAATGGCTCAAGAACCCGTGTGAACCAGAATGGAGTCAGCACTTTGTATCCTTTCTCATCTGTGTAGTGAGGTGCGTTAGTGCCAAGCAACTCGTACACTTCTAAACAAAAAATATCAATGTGAGACGTGATTCAAGTCATGTTGATTGATAATGTAATGTTGACATTCTTGACGAATTCTCAGATTTTGAACCCGGTCAGTTATATGGTGAATTCTATATTCCCATTTTTTAGCTATTTATCGGCTAGAGTCATGGTACCACTTACACAATTGTGATGTATTTTTGGGCGAATCACGCTTAGCGAGCACGAATCACGCTTCCAGTTATCCAAAAATGCCTCAAAAGAAAGTAAGCCCATAACGAAAAAAAAACGGTGAATCACAGGACTCAAACTCCCCAAACATAACAGGTGCAGCAAACATAACCACACTTTGTTCCCTTGAACTCTGCCTGGTTCACAGAAGAGGGGTTGTATGCATATCCCTTTTTGGGTGGGGGTCGTACTTCCAGCCCATTTTCCGCCATGTCGTACTTTACCCGCTTCATGAAGACGGTTACATCTTACCTTCTAATCGTATGACTAGATAAAATTCTTACTGGTTAGCTGTTGGAATAACGGAGAGAGTAAGCAACTTTGAAGTAACAGTTGGACGGGCAGCCGCTGATCTAGCGAGAGACAAGCAACCAGGTGAGCGCAGCACCTCAAACTCGTTGATGTCGCTTTCATAGAGCTTTGTTTGTTGCGGAGGCAGGGGGGGGGGGTGTAGGGGGAAGCTGTGTTTGGAGCAGCGCTAATACGTTCTCTACCAGTTATAGTGTGCAAGCGACATCATATGGTGGGAAGCGGGCTGGCGCCGCCCCAAACCCAGCCCTGCTGACACGCCCCAGAATCCGCAGCAAACAAGACTGTACACTGGTAATATGGGAAATTCACAAAACTAATGCTTTGGTACCGATATGGCTAGTCTCGGATTCCCCGACCGATTTCCACGAAATCGATGTCGATTGTCGACGATGCTTAACAACCACGGATTACGCACATTCACCCATTATGAACGCGACCTGGAGCAGCGTCCTCCACATCTTTCTCGAGGAATTCTTTCAATATCTACTTTGACACATAAAACTACTGGAATGCTCACCTCTTGGAGTGTTGCTGCTGAATGTGCATGCGACTTTTGTTGAACGAGATAGCAACGAGTCAATGTCGAAAAAGTCTGCCGGGACATCGGCTTCGTTACTGGCCATCACTGATATTGGATCAACTTATACAGCAGAGATTGAAAACCAAGCCAGCACACGAATCTGCAAAGAAAAACGGTACCGATTGGAAGATCAAAGCTTGGAAGCCACGCACAGCTAAACACATTCCGGCGGAAATAGGGCCGAGTTTTCCGCTTCAATAAAAGTTTTCAATGTTTCTTGAGAATGCCTGAATTAGAACGTCAGACGTGTTATTATCACGCATTAACTCCCACGAAGTAGTTTTTGTAACAACGACTAGCGAAACTTTCGTTATTTGAGCCCGATTCCTTTAGATTGAAGCACTGAAAAGACATGAAATACCTCCACATAGAGTAATCTGCCAAACTGTTGCAATTACTTAGAATTCATCGAAACGAATAAAGATTGAGAAAAAGCACAAACACGGTCCAACCAATTTCAAATTGTTTGATTTCGCGCGCACATATCATTGGAGCGCGATAGCTGTGCGTTACTGTGTTCATCAACAACCTCGGCGAGACTGGGCGGCACTTTTTGCATCAACATTACACTATTAAGAAACCTCGAAACT